GCTAAGAAATTGGCTGAGGTGCCCAACATCTAATGAATGGATAAAGAAAATAGGTTACATATAGACAATGGAGCATTTTTCCACAATAAAGAAGAATGAAATTATGTCATTTGCAGGAAAATGAATGGAACTGGATATCATCATGTTAAGCAAGATAACTGCGCTCAGGAAGAGAAATATGTCTTTTCATTTGTGTGTGGACTCTAGCATAATGGAACTCATTAAAAACTGTTTGAAGGGCTGGGATGTAGCTCGGTGGTACAGCGCTTGCCTAGCATGCCTGAGGCCCTGGGTTCGATCCCAGCACCAAAAAAAAAAAAAAAAAAAAAAAAAAAAACTGTTTGAAAGGGGGTAGAGTCAGGAGGGGGTGAAGAAAGAGTAATAAAGGAGTTAATTTGATCAAGGTAAATTATGTGCATGTATGTAAATATCACAAAGAACCCTGTATGTAAACTAATCAAAAAGAAAGCCATTTGTACAATTAATTTATGCTAATAAAGAGAGTGAAGAAATGATATGGATTGAATTATTGGTTCCAATTCTTCATTCCCCCTTCATCCATACTTTTTCAATGACCTATTTATGGGAAGTCTAGTTAGTTACCTCCCCCTTGACTTTGGGCTTGCTGTGGAGCTTCTTTTGGCCAAAGGAATGGGACAGAAATCATAGCATACCAGTTCTAAGAAACTTCACCTATTTTCTATTTCCCTCTTGCAACTTTGTCATTGCCATTATCTTCAAGAGAACATAATCTTCTCTTGTATAGATGCTGGCCTAGTACCGTAGACACAAAAACAAACACAGGGAGAGCAGAGATTCCCTAGCTCACCCACAGGACTACAGCACAAGCCAAGCTATGCAGCCCAGTCCAGCTCAGCTTAGATCAGCAGAGCCCCAGCTAACCAATGTTCTGTGATCCAATCTTTTATTTTAGACTCCATGTGCTTACTTGGCATAACAGGGAGCTATAAGGCCTATAATCTCCTGCCTACTATTCTGAACCCTTGTTTTGTACAAGATACTTTTGCATTTTGCTAATCTGCCATATCAGCAGTGCTCTATAATGCTAGGATCTACGGGATAGCCTCCAACTCCCAATATCATCCTTTAGTTCTTTCAATCTCTTTTATACTACAGTCACAGTGATTGATCTGCATTTATTTTTGTCAGTTTAGCCTAGAATATCATTAGTGTTGTCCAATACTTGATACAGTAGTTGCAGCTCATTTGCTTCAGGGAAACATTTGGGAATATAATCTTTTTCAATATTCTTTTTTTTAAAAAATAACATAAGGAAAAAGATGAATTCTACTAGTCCACCATCTCCTTTCCTTCACTGAGTTTGCCTTTTGCTCATAATTAAAAGCTCCTAGTTAATACTTTTTCATTTTTCTTTCTGATATAGTCTTAAGAAACTCTTTCTTAGACTCTTGGGAGCTCAGCCAAATTTCCTTGGGTCACCTATTCGCTACGCATTTGTAAGTTGCCAGCGCTGCTCACTTGGCTCCTTCAATCCTTGGAAAGATCTGTCTGTCTTGTACTAACCTTTTGCCTTTGACAGAGAGTGATGATGTCAATTTAACAAAAGCTAATTAAGTTGGCTAATTTTCCATTCACACTGGCACTACATTGTACATAAGCATGTACTTAGCAATATGCAGCAGTAGCCAGGAAACTGAAATAATATCTGGTCATTGCAACAAGTTTCTCCAAAGTACAGGGAGAAAAAGAGTCTCAAACTGTTGTAGAGGAATTCAAGGCAAATCATATTTCTATGAAAAATTTATGTAGCATCAAACACTATATAACCTGAGATATTTCAGTGAGCTCACATTATGAAAGTATAACTCTTGTGTTTTATACCTGCACACAGTAAAAGCACCAGGAGTGTCTGAAAAGGCTGCCTCATTACATAGACTCTTAAATTGCCAGCCTGCATTTTTAAAAGTCACATAAAAGAATGGATTTGTGATATGAGAAATGCATTGATTTCCCCACATTCTGTCTCTAGAGTGAAAACAAACAAAAAAAATGAGACAGTATTTTAGAGAGCCATGAAATTCAATGTTTATGGCAATAATAAAAAGTTTTAATAGAGAATGTTCTGAAAGAGATTTGAGTTTTTGTACTAGATACAATACAAGACTAGGATACTGAGCTTATGTAGTAACAAACAAACTATTTGGAAAAGAACAGATGCTTTCAAGAAACCATGGGTGATTGATAAGCAAAACAGAATCTCAAATAGCAATAGCAGGGTGATATCACAGTTTTTGTTCTCAAACTACAAATAATCTAGTTCGGTTTATGCAAGTAGCAAGCTCAAAGCTACTCACCAGGAAGTTGTGATATTGTTTTGCTCTAAAAATTTAAAAGATTTCCCTGCGGCCACCAACTTTATTGATATGGTTGAAAGTGTAGCTGCTGTCGCCAGATGTCCAGATGTGGAGGGTGGACTCCATCCATTCCAGCACCATCATTGCTGGTTGACACAAGGCTCCAGGACTTTTGCTTGAGTGATTTTTATTCCATTTGCCCTTTCTTGTAGGCAACCATTCAATACGATTCAGTGTATTTCCAGTTATGCATTTAGTTAATACAGACTGTACGGTTATTAGGTGTTAGTTCCAAGAGCTAGAAATGCATCTGTGAATAAAAGGTTTTTAAAAAATTCCTGCATGTCTGAGCCTGTATTTATTTTAGTAGGTGATGTTTGATTTAAAAATAAATCAAGTAGTAAATACTGTTGAAGGTTAGTAAGTGCTGTGGAGGGAGGGAAAAAGAGAAGAGGAGATACTCAGGTGAGTTACCACTTGAACAGGAGAGGCTCTTTCAGAAGTGACATTTAAGCATACCTGAAGAAAGTGAGCATGAGAAACCATGCAGGGACTGCCCTGGGGACCGCTGGTGCCAGGTTCTAGGCCTTTTCTTCTAGCTGCTGCCCAGCATTTCATACTTGCGTCTCTCATACTTAGCTAAGAAATTCTCTAGTAATGGACTTCTCATGGCTCACTGGAGTGTACACCCCCAGTAAGAGTTTTGATGGGTGCTAGGGACACATGAAATTCAGCAAAGTACTTCTGGATGCCTTTCCGAAGTACCCACATTTACCCACCACCAGCAATCAATAGGACCACCACATGTTTGCCGTGGACTCTAAATTTCTAATTTTTGCCAATATCATTAAAATAAAATGATGTTTCATTGCCTCTTAAGGAATTTCTCTTCCTTACTGGTTTTTTTGTAGTGAAATAAGTAACAAAATTTGCCGTTTTCAGCATGCCATTCAAGTAGCAATAATTACTTTCATAACACTGTGCAGCCATCACTACAATTTCCAAAATTTTTCATCACCCCAATATTACTTTTTAAATTTGAATTAGCTTAGAACATTTCTTAATGTGCTTTCCAACATATTTACATTTGATTTATCCTTATTCACTATAAAAAAGCTTCATAAAAGAAAAAGCCCTAACACCATGGATTTGGAGTCAGGAATTTGAATCTTAGGTCTTGTTTCACTGGGTAGGTGACCTTGGGAAAGTTATTCTCTCTGAGCTTTAGTTCCTTATCTGTAGAATGGAGATAATTAGTATTGACTTTTCTAGAGTCTTAAGTTTAAATGAGATAACATATATAAAGGGTAATGACTTTTCCAAGCAAAGTAAGTGTTGATAAATAACAACTAGAATTCCTGTATTAACATTATTTTATTAGCTATGCTTAGCTGCCATTTCATCTGAACCTGCCCTAACACAAATGGTGGGACAGCCAACCTTCCATGTGGTAACACTGTCTTTACTACTGATGGACCTAGTGTCAGTTTGGTGAAAGAAGGTACAGGATTGAAAAATAATTTCAGTGTAAAACCAGGAAGGGGGGGCGGTTGAAGAATGATGGAGGGAACGAATTCAATTATGATACATTGTAAGAATTTTTATAAATGTCACAATGTACCCCCAATACAACAATAACAAAAATAAAATAAAATAAAACTAAAAAGGGAAAAAAGAAAGTTGAACAGCACCAACACAGCCATTTTAAATAATGGATAGGTCCAACACCAGCAGATGAGGGTGAGAGTTGCTAGGATGGAATGAAGTTCTCTTCCCCAGCTGCGTGAGTGCACAGTCCCCAGCAGGAGGAGAAATGGCTCTTTGCTACCTTCTACCCTGCTGGAGAAAAGATGCTCTCTGCTACACTGCTATATGTTGGAATCAAGGACTGTCAGATGCACACTTGTTTTTTTGGGTTTTGGGGGGTTTTTTGGTATGATTTTTTTTAAATCCTGAGATATGTTTAATGAATGCATTGGATCTGAATCACTTCCATTTAGTTGATGATACTAATATATAAATAACTAATACCAACAGATTTCATGGATGATGTGAGATATGCATCAATAGCTTTTTGAAACATGAGTCAGATTTGCTTCCTGCTCTTATTATCATGTGGCCTGTTACCAGCAGCAAAAACTTCAGTCATTGCATGAAACTTGCCAAAATGCAGAAGGACAAGAGCAAAGCAAAACAAAGAAATAGCATCCACATGTAGGAAAAGTGTTTTCAATGTAAAAGTGACAGTCCAGTAGGATAAGCTTGGTAGTAGCGGCAACTTTCTGTCTTGTGGTTGTTTAATCCAGCTGTTCACTGATGTTTGAAAAACAAAGGGAAAAAATTAATTGTGTCTGCTTAAGTAATTTTTAAAGTATAATTTTAAAAACTTACCTATCTAACTTCTCCTGTTCTCCTTTTCAGAATATCTAATTGTAGAATTTGCTTACTGAAAATGTGTGCTTTGGGTTGGAAAAGAATATTTAGAAATCCTGTCCCAAAAAAGCAAGTGGGAGTGGAAATTTGAAAGGAGACCGCCTAATTCAGCACTAAAACCAGTGTGAGAAGCAGTGAGTGAGGGAGTGTGGTGTGTGTGTGTGTGTGTGTGTGTGTGTGTGTGTGTGTTATAAAATGCGCTTTTCAAAGGGCTGAGAAGTGGATGGGAATGTTTGCTTAGCTTCTCTGAGAAGAAGAAAAAGGTGCTTCGACCTCCTTTCTTCTTTAGGATAATTTGGATGGGATTTCTGATGCAGAAAAGCTTGAAGAAAAAAGAATATTCATTCTGTGTGGTAGAAAATATTTGAAAAAATTTGCTTTCTTCAAATAAGGTATGTCTGATTAATTACTAAGCTATGCATGTAGTTGTTTTCCATTCATTAGTATAAAAACATTAAAATACATTTGTCATTAAGAAAAAAGAGGGATATTTCAACTATCAGTCTGTATGTAAATTTCAGTTTAAAGAGATTTAGGATAGGAGTGGGTGACAGTTGGCATCCTTATAAATAACTAGTTATATATATGTTAATAAGTAATGCTAAGATATTAATATTAAAGCAAAGTTTTTACTGTTTCTTTAAACTAACTTAACTATGGTTAAAAATAGTTGAAAAGTACAGAATTGTGTAGAATTTTGAGATAATTTCCATCTTTCTTGCTTTTTTCAACTTTGCTTCCTATATGGAATACAATAGCAATATAGCAACTTGTCTATAACAATATGTGAGAAGCCTTGTGAGAAATGGGCACTCTGCTGCTAAATTAAAAGAGGAAGTATTTAATGAGACTCTCTATTCCTCTCTATTCGGACAGATCCCAGTGGAATGTGGTAGATATGCAGTTCCTATGACTTGTTTACACTAAAAAGTGTTTTCTTAGGCTGACTGCTTCTGTTACCGATAAACCCAAGAAGAGGCTGGCATTGTTAAATCTACCATTGTAGCTTAACTTTGCATAGGAAGACAGGATACACATCTCTTTTAAGTATGATTTGTGTCGAACCAGTATAAACATGAAATAGATGCCTCAAGCACAGGTTAAATAGAGAGATCGATGGAATAACTCACTGCATCTTAGCCATCTCCAAATCAAGAGTGGAATTCAAGATTTTCTTTCAGTTGATTGTAAAAACAAAACCAGGCATTCTTGGCCGTGGTGGTTGTTGAAAAATGTGTGTGCTAAGAAAATAGTATTTTGCCATTACGTTGTGTTGCAATAAATTTGGAAGTTTTGGTGGTAAAATTCTGAGGTTGTTTTTCCTTTGGTCTCTTGGAAGATGAAACACCCTGCAGCAAGGCAGGATCAAATGCTGTTTGTTTTTGTGTTTTCTCTCTCTGTGTATTAGCTGCAAATGGTAGCTACAGCCAGTAAGGAAAGCTGAAGAACCCATTTTTTATTTATTGAATTAAAATGCCCTTTTTTGTAAAAGGGCTTCAGACAAGGAATTACAAGACTACAAGGACTGAATTCTTAATTGTAGTGTGCTGGTTTCCTAGATAAAATTCATCTGAATATATCTTGCACCCCACCACTGAAAAGGAAATGTCTTAGGAACTCTGGAAATGTTTAATATCTATGCTGAAATAGCATTTATGGATATCATTTAGAAGATCTAATTACCTATTCCAACAAGTTACTGATCACAAGAAGAATAGTTTCTTTCAGAGAAATTAGAGCAGGTTTGAGAATGGTTTACAAATAGCATCATGGAAACAAAAATGCTTGTTGTATTCTTGACTGCAATTCCTGTAACATGCATTGAACACAGGAAAGCAGTGTGGTTTGATGCAGTGGGCCAAGCTAGGAATCCTAAATTATAGGAACAGCTAGCTATGCCACTACCTAGCTGTGCTACCTTGGGACTTTGCTCCTTCTTGAAAAATAGAAATAGCAATACTTGCATATCCTCTCTCCCAGGAAAGTCACGAGGCTCAATATTTATTTTCAGCCCCAACTTTTCTACAGAAATGTATCTTTCTTATATATTCAAAGAAAGATTTCATTAGGAGGAGTCATTGGTCTTTAACAAGTGCTTCATAGTCTCCAGGATGTTCCCGTTAAAACGTGCCCACACATGCAACTTCTTCTGTTGCTCTCAGTTGTACATGTGAGCCAGCTAGGAGCTACAGTGAGTGCAGGACAGGACACAGGGGTCTGTCTACCAGTAGGGGGGCTTTAGCTCTGTGACCCTAGGGAGGTATCTCACCATCTCTGCAGCATCACTTCCTCATATGTGAAATGAAGAAGTTGGACAAGTTAGTTTCTAAGTTCCCTTCCCAGTCCTGGGGCTCCATGCACTGAGACATCTCCAGTGACAAGAATAGCCTGGCCAATCTCATTGTTGAGACTCTGAGTTATTAAGAACTGAAGTATGAAATCAGAGTTACATTTTAAATATTTATGTTTACCTAACTAAAGATTGTAACATATACGAAAATGGAATTTAACCTAATTATATTCATCATGAGACCATTAAAGATTATAGCATATGTGTAACACACACATATACACTTCACACACATACCTATAATGTTCTGGAGACAGTGTGATCCAAGTTGCATGACAGATTTCTTTTAGTTTTCTGGTGCATTCCTATGACTGTCTGTGTATCCTCGTGTGGAGATAATGTCAAATATCTAAGCTTAAGGATGTCATGTGAGGTCAAGGCCAACTGGCCCTCCTTTACCATGGGTCCTAAGGGGGTTGTTAGAGTTGCTACTTTAAAGTGTTAACTTTGGCAAGTTACTTAAAAATCAATGAGTCTCAGTTTTCTCATCTGTGAAAGGGCCCTATTGTTAGTGTCTACCTCGTAGAGTTGTAGCAAGGAGTTTTAGTCAGGCCTGGTACCCCACCAACATCCATATGTTAGCAAATATTTTCTTTATTATATATGACTGGAACAAAACGTCAGATGAGTGGTGAAACCATTCACTTGTAATCATCTTCAAACCTTTAAACATTAACTCTGGATGTAGAAGCAAAGGGACTTGTAGATTTCTGTGACATTAATATAACTATTAGTAACTACAGTCATCTCTTCATCCAGAGGGTCTGAGTGAATCAGTCACTCACCAAATCATAAGCAAGAGTGATTATAGTCAGAGAAAGCCCAAAGGTTCCCCTCGTTGCCTTAAGATGTGTCTCGAAGATAGTAAAATGCCATGGCCCCTGAACATAGGGAATCAGGGAGAGGGAGAGAAAGTGCACAGGGAAGCTAATAGTTTTTCTTGTTATGAACAATCCTTAGGCAAGTGGCAATGCAAGGCTTCTATTCTTGTAAAAAATGGATCAAGAGAAAAGCAAGAGAATAGCAAAGATAAGATAAGTGTCAGAAGTGATTTTTGATAGTGCTTGTTGTTACAACTTTTATTTAAACACATAAACAAATTTAAATCACCTAGATGAACTCTCATTTGCAGACCAGGAGAGGAAAGGCTAAAAGCAAGGAAAACCCCACGGAGTGCTCAGAGTCACGTGTTTCACAAGGGAGCAAAGACTATTTCTGTTTTGTTTATTGCATTTTCCATGGTTACCTCATGCATAAAACAAACAGTGGTGGATACTGGCTTCAGAATTTGTTTTTAATCAGCTAGAAACCTTTCTGCTTCAATGGACTGCAAACTCTTCAGAAATCCTCAGCGACTTCCTGAAATGCTCCAGGGCTGCCTGAGAAGTGAATATAGCAGGCACCTGATGATGCTCAAGTAGAGCCAACTATAAAAACTGTACATCGTGTGGTAACCTGCAAAGGGCAAATCCATGCATGGCAGATGTTGTGATTCTGCAGAAATCTATTGCTGCATTCCAGAGCTTACCCCCCAAGGGACAAAGTTGAACTGAGATACTGAATGCCCCAAATCCTGTCCCGAGTCAAATCTATAGGCCAGAGTCTTACAACACAGAAATACTACTGTTCAATTCGGAGAAGACTTTTGTGGTTGTTTTATTCTGGTCTCATAGTTGAGGAAATATATAAGTCCATTTCTAGTTTAGATCTTTTCACTAGATTAAAATAATTTCTTAATTGAATGCATCATCCCTTGGCCATTTGATTGTCCAAATTACCATTTACCAGAGTTACCAAATTACCATAATTGTGTAGAAGATTTTCATGAGAGTGGTCTGAAGAGCCTTATAAATCCCTAAGCAGAGAAAGGAGGAATAAGAGTATAGAATTGCTTATTTCCCCAGTGTCTTAATTGGAACTACTATTATAGAATCCCAATAGACTGGGTGGCTTAAACAACAAATATTTGCTTCTCACAGTTCTGGAGGATGAGAAGTTCAAGATAAGGTGCTCAAAGATTGATGAGGGCCCAGCGCCTGGTTTGTACACCAGAGGGATGTCTGGGGTTCCATTTATAAGGGTACAAATCCTATTTGTGGTGGCTTTCTCCATCACTTAATTACATACCAAAAGTCTTACCTCCAAATACAATCACACTGGGCATTAGGAGTTCAAAATATGAATTTTGGAGGGACATAAATGTTCAGACCACTGGGCCCTGGAAGAATTTAGCCAAATGGCAGACACACACCCATGTGGTTCTGTCTTAATCCACTTTGCCTGCTATAACAAAACGCCATAAACCAAGTGGTTTATAAACATCTACATTTACTTCTACAGTTTTGGAGGCTAAGAGGTCAAAGATCAAGGCCACTGGCAGATTCTGTATTTGGTAATGGTCAATTTTCTGGGCTCTGCCCTGGTGACATAATCACCTCCCAAAAGCCCCACCTCCTAAATCCTATCACCTTGGGAGTTAGGATTTCAAACTATGGATTTAGGGGTAATCACAACATTCAGACTATAACAGATTCCTTCACCAAGAATTCCAAGAACCAAGCCATTGCTAATCCCGGACAGCATCTTATTGAGATATTTAGCTGACTGCTCTGTTAGATCCTAAGCTAGTGTTTAAGTGAGCCACCATAAGGTGGTGGTGTGGTCATGATGACAATGATGAAATGATGAAAATGGTGCTTAAAATAATTAGCCACCATCCTAACGATAATAATATTAACCCCCTTTCATGTATTAGCCCATTTAATCCTAACAACTAACATACGGTGTACGTTGTCACTATCTGAATTACACAGATTAAAAATAAAACTGAGGCACTACAAAGTTCATTAAGTTATCTGAGCCCACATGGCTGGTAAGAGCTAGAGCTCAGATTCAAATCCAAGAACTCCATTCCAGGCTCACATTCTTAAATTACCAGGCAACAATTACACATGGTCCTGGCTTTCCTATCACTGCACCAAGTTAATCTTTGCCATCCTGAAAACAGAGCTTTCAAGCCAAGTCAAATTTCTTAGAAGGATA